GGAGATGTTTGTCCCATTGTGAGTGAATAGAACATCAGGAACGAGACCATTTCTCATAAACATTGTCTTTGTTAGATTCAGCTGTAGTCTGACCCTTCCACATTCACGGTCGAAGTCGGCTAGCATTTTTGCCGCTTGGCTGATGTTTGGTGTTATAAGAATGATGTCATCAGCAAAGTGGAGGTGGTGTAGTTGATGACCATCTTCACTCCCATTCCTTCCCATTCCAGTCGTTGCATGATGTTCTCGAGGGTGGCGCTGAAAGTTTCAGTGAAATGGTATCACCCCGCCAAACCCCTCTCTTGACATCAATGATAACCTCTCTGTAGAATGGTGAGATTCTGGTAGTGAATCCACAATACAGCTCATGGAGGGTCCTGATGTATTGACTTTGAACGTCCTGTTTGACTAGGGCCTCGATGACCACTTCAGTCTCAACAAAACCAAAGGCCTTCTTTAAATCAATGAACGTTAGACAGAGTGGCATCTTGAACTACTGAGAAACCTCAATGAGCTTGGTTATCATGTGGATATGGTCGATTGTGCTAAGTCCTTTTCGGAAACCAGCTTGCTCACATGGTTGTTCTTCATCTAGTGTTCTACTAATCCTATTCAGTATGACTCGAGTGAACAGCTTATAGATGACAGACAACAGGCAGATCGGGCAATAGATGCCAATGTTGTGGATGTCTCCCTTCTTGTACAGTAGTACAGTCCTGTTGGTTTTCCATTGGGATGGAATCTTGCATTCAGACAGGTAGCGTGTGAACAGCCGAGCCAGTGTATTGATGAGTACTGACGGCAGGTTCTTCAGGTGTTCGAGTCTGACCTTGTCTGGGCCAGGTGCTGTTCGGTTTTTTACCAATGAAATGGTGTGTCGGATTTCGGAAGGGAGACTGTTGGGAACAACATATTCATCCTGCAGAATTTGGTATGTGGGCAGGTGGACATGGCTATCAAAGAGATCCGAGTAGAAGTCTGGATAATCTTCTCCATTGCCCTTCTGGAAGATGTGATAGATCCATCAGGACATCAGAGAGCAGTCATCTTGGTCTTGTAGTTGGCGAAGGACAGGCAAGTGTTGAGAATGCTTTTCCCAGCTTCTGCCATATCTGCCAGCACTGCTGCTCTTCTCTCTTTGAGGTCTTCCTTTATTGCTTCTCTGCACTGCTTTGAAAGCTCAGACATTCGCTTGCGGTTGCCTGAGGCTTGCGCCAAGCCGTGTTAGTGAATGAGTTCGAGAGTTTTTGAAGACAGTCATCTTTTTGTGGCTATCTCTCTCTCTTGGTGTTCCTTGTACAATCAAGGAGGTGCTGAACCAGTCGATCGTATTCCTCGTCAATGCTGTCAACAACGGCATCTTCCCATGTTTCTGCAATAGTGCCAAAGAGATCCCAGTTGGTGGTCGTTCTGGGAGTTCTCTTCTTAAACTTTGCAGCCCTTTCTCCCTGCTCTGTGAAGCAGAATTTTGCACGAAGTAGACGGTGGTCCGATCCCATTTGGAATTTTGGAACAACAGCGACGTCGGTCAGGCAAGACCGTCAATTGAATATGATGTGGTCAATTTCATTGTGGAACCGTCCAACAGGAGACTCCCATGTCCAATGTTTAGATTCGGCCTTCTGGAATTGTGAGTTACCATGGATGGTCTTGGTTGACATGATGAACTCAGACAATCTCTCACCCTGTTCTTTTCATTCTAGGTCATGGGTCCCGATGTGGAGTTCTTTGGCTGATCTTCTTGATCCTATCTTGGCATTAAAATCACCAACAATGATCTTGTAGAAGGTGTGGTCTTCTTTATAGAACTTCTCCAGCTCCATGTAGAACTTCTCAATTTCTCCTTCATCATAATTGGATGTTGGTGCATAGACAACGAAGATAGAAACTGCCAGCAGTGATCCACATCTATTCAAGTGTAATCGTCCGATTCAGGTTGTTAGGCATTCAAATGAATCAATGTTTATGGCCAAGTTCGTGTTGACAAGGACACCAACACCACCGACTCCTCTTTTTTCGCATGTTCTGAGGAACAGCTCTTCCCCAATATCAAAAACAGCATGATGTGATTGACGCTTTCTCATCTCAGTCAGACCAATGATGTCATACTTGATGGACTCATCCAATGCCAGCGTATGTGCATTGAAAGTACAGACAGTCATTTTGTGGGAGAACCGATATCAAATTCAAACAAATATGAGTAGTGCTCAAGGATCTGGATGAGCCACTTCTAGCAGGGCTGGGCTATGCATATGGTACCAGGGATCAAATTTCAGGGTCTAACTATACAAGACATGTGCTTTATCACATAAGTCACATCCTTGCACCCATTATTTCTTTTAAATTGTTTGTGTAAATACATCATGTCATGTGATCTAATTCACTGATGCCCTCTCCATCCTCCAACTGTTTTTGTATTACTTATTTTGGCAATTAAGACATCACATTCTCCTGGATTACTTCACAGGCTTCTTTACTAGAGTGCTGAATGTTGGGGTTTATGGAGTCATCTTGGGATGCCTCCTGCTTTCAAACTATACTTACTGGACTTGAGTATCATTTTAGTGAAGCCCCAAACTTCATCTCCAAACTTGACCTCTGCTTATAGTAGGATTTTCAAAAGGTATTCTTTCTTTCTTTCTCCCAGGGTTAATGTCTCATTCCCAGGCTAATCAGTCATCTAAATAAACTGTATCATCATCCAACCAGCTACCCACACCAAAATTCTAGAAGTTATTCACTCATCTCTCCCTGTCAACTACTCTTAATATCCAATATTATTGTATATATCTGAATATCTCATACACACACATATTCCGGCAATTCCATCCCTTTCCCTATTAACTAACAGTACTTGTATCTCTGCAAGTGTACTTGATCTTAATTGATCTTCCCACTTCTTCTTTTGCATATTCTATCCTATGTAAACTCCCCAAGTTGGTCTTTATAAAACTTGAATCGGAAGTCAGATCATGATTTAATATGTTAGTGTTTCCTGCTCTTGGGTTAAAAGCCAACCTTCTCGATAGATTCTCTAAGTTCCTATGTGATCTGGCCATAATTCATTTTCTATGTTATCTCCCACTCTTTTCCCCTCACTCACTCAGAGATGCAAAAAAATATAATACAAATTACATCTGCACTTGTAGGTTTATTGCAGCACTATTTACAATAGCCATAATCTGTTAAAAACCCACGTGCCTGAAAATAGATGTCCGGTTACAGAAACTTTGGTACATATACAAAATGGAATACTATGCAGCTATTAGAAAAGATGAAATCATGAAATTATCATATAAATGGATCAACATGGAGAGTGTCATGCTAAGTGAAATGAATCAGAGAGAGAGGGACAGACATAGAATGTTTGCACTCATTAGTGGAATATAAAGTAACAGAATGGGAGACTAACACCCAAGGGTAATAGAGGTAAGGTCCAGGAGAATTACTCCATGGCTTGGAAGCTAGCCTCACATGCTGGGTGAAAAGGCAGCTGGGATAGAGAAGGGACCACTAAATGAATAAAGCTTGGAGTGCTTGCTCGTGATGGGAGATGTGTGCTGAAAACAGATTACAGACCAAACATGTTGGCCACTTAATACCTGCACTGCAAACCATAACACCCAAAAGGAGAGAGAGAGAGTAAAAGGGATGTGCCTGCTACAGAGGCAGGTGGGGAATATGGGATGGGGGTGGCGGGAGGGATACTGGGAACATTGTTAGTGAAAAATGTGCACTGGTGGAGTGATGGGTACTCCATCATCTTAGGACTGAAACATAATCACATAAGTTTGTAAGTCTGTAACTGCACATCATGGTGACTCATTAAAAAATAAAAAATATAATAAAAAACACTTAGCCACTTACGTTTACCAATCCTTTTTCTAAGGCAGGGGGTTTGGTCTTATTCTTATTTATAAAATAAATATGCTGCAGAAGAGTAGGATCTGTTTAATAGGTAGTTTAACGATGTTGTCTAGAGTAAAGAACATGAAACTGCAAATTCAGATCGCTACTATACTGTGGCTTATAATCTGTATTGTCACTATGGCTTTAGTCACTTCCAAATTATGAAATGATTTCTTTCAATGAAATAATATTGTCACTTCCAAATTATGTAATGATATGGGTGAGTATAGCCATATATCCAAAACACAGACACAACAAAACTCAAAACATATGAGATCTAAGCTACAACCACTGCTATTTTGTTATGTACCTGTCAAGTTGACAGGCAGGAATGGGGAGGGTTTTGGAATAATGAGAGAATATGGGAACGCTGCTTGGAGGGAAGTTCACACTGGTGGTGGGATTGATGTTGAAATATTATATACCTAAAACTTAACTATCAATAACTTTGTAAATCACAATAGTTTTATTTAAAAAAAATTAACAATGATTACATGGATCAAAACAAATAAACTTTATTGTCAGTTATTTAACAAGTTACAACCCAAGTTGCTTTGGGTTGAAAAAAACATTTAGGATTTCACAATTTGCCACAACACGAATGGAATTGGAGGGTATTATACTGAGTGAGGCAAATAAGAAGGAAAGGAAAAGAGAAAGAAAGAGCTCTTTCCTACAAGGGGCTTAAGGATACACAGCAAGGTAGCAACAAAGGGACAAAGGCAACACAACAGAAGAACAGATCCACTCAACTGAGTTTCTGTGTGTGTGGGCCGGGGGGGTGGCAGTTGTTAAAAGGGAGCAGCATAAGGATCTTTGGGAAGGGAGATAGGTACACTGCTGATGGATATGGTGTTGGAATTATGTAGAGAAGAAATCACCATTAGCAGTATTATAAATCACAGAATCTCAATCAAAAAATAAAAATAAAATAAAGGGCAAACAATATTCTGAAAATAAGCGGGTAAAGCAAAGAAAACGGAGCTCCTCTTAAAAGGTTATGGAACTGAGAGTTCAGACAGTTACCACAGTTTCCCATGACACTATTGAAAGTTGCCGCAGGAAAGAACAGCACCTGTTGTGTGGGTTACCTGTAGGATCGGAATTGTAGAGAGTGGCCGCCGCTGTTATGGGTCCTGGTGGGTGGATGGCACTGGCTGAAGATCTTTGACTTGCGATCAAAATCCTGCTTTTGGCAGATGGTAAACGGGACATGGCACCCAATCCCAGTTGAGGCTTAAGGAGCATGGCCGATCGGTAGAAAGTTGGAGGAACTTCATAATGAGTATAGGCAGGAGAGCAATATTCTTCTTTTCCAGGGCGTTCTGTAACCTAGGATAAATTATTAGAAATTCAGAGAATCTAGTGGCATCAGGTGAGACTGAACAAGTTCAGAACAAAGTACCCCTAATAATCATTTCGTCTGCAGCACAGCCCACCTCTCTTCTCTGAGCCCCACATGCTCACGTCTAAGTTGACAACACTACCACATGAACTCTCTGATTTAGTACCCAATAGAACTACTTCTTAAAGGGAGATTAAAAGCACTGAACTTGGAGTGCTTTAAAAAGTGCTTTAAAAACTTTAAAAAGTGATTGCTTTATAATTCACTGGGTTTTACACAGCCAACTATAAGTAAATGATGTTAATAAAACACTAAAAGAATTTAGTAAACATGCATTATTCTTTTTTTAAAAAAAACACACGTTTTTGTTTTTTAATTTTTATTAGTGAGACACCATGAGATACAGTTGTAGACTTACAAATTTTGTGCTTGGGTTTCAATTATACAATGATGAAATACCCATCCCTCCACCAGTGCCCATTTCCCACCATCACGGATCCCAGTATCCCACCCTGCCTCTGTTACAGGGCATTCCCCTCTGTTCCCTCTCTCCTTTTGGGTGTTGTGGTTTGCAAAAGAGGCATTGAGTGGAAATCATGTTTGGTCTATAGTCTACTTTCAGCATGCTTCTCCCATTCTGGGAGGATTCTCCCAACACTCTTTATTTGGTGCTCCCTTCTCTATCTGAGCTGCCTTTTCCCCTAGCATGTGTGTCTGGCCTCCAATATTTTGACAAATCAATAAGGAACTTCGCCAACTTAAGTCTTTACTAGGTTACTTAGGACATAAAATAAGCAGTTTTTAATGAGTAAGAAAAAGGTTATTTGGAAGAATCAAAAAGTTAATGGGGGAAAACATGTTTTCAGGACTCTACAATCTGTTTAGATAATGAAGAACACGAGACTGCACATTATCTCCCCTAATTCCATTCCCCCATAAGGAGGTGTTCCCAGGAAGGTTAGAGCAAGTTTCGCTACCTGTCTGAATGCAAGGTTCCGTCCCAATGGAAAACCAGCAGGACCGTACTACTGTTCAAGAAGGGAGACATCCATGACATTGGCAACTATCGCCCGATCTGCCTATTGTCTGTCATCTACAAGTTGTTCACTTGAGTCATCCTGAATAGGATTGGCAGAACACTAGATGAAGGACAACCATGCGAGCAAGCAGGGTTCCGCAAAGGATTCAGCACCATCGACCATATCCACACGATAACCAAGCTCATTGAGGTTTCTCGGGAGTTCAAGATGCCGCTCTGCTTAACGTTCATTGATTTAAAGAAGGCCTTTGATTCTGTTGAGATGGAAGCGGTCATTGAAGCCCTAGCCAATCAGGGCATTCAAGCCCAATACATCAGGATCCTCCGTGAGCTGTATTGCGGATTCACTACCAGGATCTCACCATTCTACAAAGAAGTGATCGTTGATGTCAAGAGAGGGGTGCGGCAGGGTGATACCATTTCACCGAAACTCTTCAGTGCCAACCTCTAGAACATCATGCGACGACTGGAATGGGAAGGAATGGGAGTGAAGATAGATGGTCGGCAACTACACCACCTCCGCTTTGCTGATGACATTGTTTTAATAACACCAAACATCAGCCAAGCGGCACAAATGCTGGCCGACTTTGACCGTGAGTGTGGAAAGGTAGGACTACAGCTGAATCTTACGAAGACAATGTTTATGAGAAACAGCCTTGTTCCTGACGCCCCATTCGCTCTCAATGGAACGACCATCTCCGAATGCAACAGCTATGTGTACCTAGGTCGAGAGGTCAACATGACAAATGACCTGGCACCCGAGCTGCGCAGGAGGAAGAGAGCGGCTTGGAATGCCTTCAAGAACGTCGAAGAAATAGCTAAGAGGACGAAGAACCTCCGGCTCTGGGCACATCTCTTTGATTCCACTGTTCTTCCTGCATTAACATATGCCTCAGAGACCTGGGCCCTACGCAAACAGGATGAGAATGCTATTCAGGTCTCCCAAAGAAGAATAGAAAGAGCTATGCTTAGAATATCACGTTTCACTCAAATGAGAGAACGAATCCGGAGTTCTGACATCCGTCGATGATCAAGGATCAGGGACACTGTCTCATTTGCCAAGGTGTCGAAAATCTGATGGGCTGGTCACTTAATTAGATTTAAAGACGACCGACCGTTGGACTAGAGCTGTTACTGATTGGATTCCACGGGATGTCAAGAGACTGCGTGGCCGCCCACCTACCAGATGGTCAGACTTCTTCGTCAAGATCATGAACGATCGGTTTGAGGCCCTTCATGTTCCCGGAGCGAACAGATGCCATTGGGCTACACTAGCACGCGACAGGGACAAATGGAGACATTACTGGCGCCCGCTCGAGCAAATCGACGACCAACGGGAAGTTAAGTGATTAAGTGATAAGGAGGTGTTCCCAGGAAGGTTAGAGCAAGTTTCACTGATATAAAAGGACACAGAGACAGGGTGGGATGGGGGGGATGGGGGGTGGGAGGGATGCTGGGACCCGTGGTGGTGGAGGATGGGCGCTGGTGGAGGGATGGGTACTTGATCATTGTATAACTGAAACCCAAGCACAAAAAGTTGTAAGTCTATAATTGTACCTCATGGTGTTTCACTAATAAAAAAAGAAAATAAAATAATAAAAAATTAAAAAAATAAAAGGTCGTGGGTAAAGCCTTGCCTGCTGAATTCACAGCATCTGGAATAGCACCCACTATATAACCTAAATCAATATATATTCATTATATATAGTAATCAGGTTACTTTTCTTAAATTTAATAACACAGTGCTTGTTTCTTTGTAGATAACAAGTGGGAAGAAAACAACTTACAACTACCTTTGATGTAATCAATTCTGTGTTCAAAAAGCCTGTTCATGTTGTATCAATGTTTTCTCAGATTAAAAGTGAAATAGTAAGAGAACCCAGGATATATTTTATTTAAAATAAAATAATTGTCTTAGACCACACGTGAAAATATCAATCTGTTAACCAACTCTGCTTTAAGTCATAATACATTTTATATGTCGGCATTTATCTACTCAGGAATCATTGCTATATTCTTTAATGGGTTCGATCCAAGCTGTTGAAAAGATAAACCCTCAATTTGATACTCCTTTAATGTTAAAGAAGACACAAAATTCTTAAATTGACATTACTGAAACAAAATATTATGCCTTTAAATTTTTATTGTAATCACACTATAAAATATGCATGGTTTCTATAATGGATAGCCTGTACTCAGGCCAAGAAAATTATATTCCTGTCAAAGAATATTCTACATCTGCTCTCTGATAAAAATTTTACCATTTTCTACTTACTCTCCCACTATCAATCTTTATGGCTTTTCTATTATACTCACATTCCCTCTATTTTTAATTTTAGTTCTAAATTTTAGTGTCATTGCTTATTATTGCTTTTAGCAGGTGCTCTCATGAAATGACTATCATATCTAACATACATCTGTCAAGTTTTTAGGACTGCAAGATGCTGATCTCAGTAATTACTGGACTCTTCACAACAGAATCATTTCCAGGGATCAAAACCCATCATGCCATCACTCAAAAATGGCCTAAATAAATAATTTCAGTGGCTTCAATGTCTACCACATTGCTGGGTGATTTGTCTCTGATGACATAATAAATTCTTCCAAAAGCTAAAACGTGTGCCTCAGATATACCCATCTTCAGCCTGTACACGGGCTAGGATTTTCTAGGTCACATTCAATTGCAGCTCTAGGACCAATGGTCACTGGTCAATCTACTCTCTATTTTCATCTAAAGAGTAGTATTGAAATTAGCCTGCTAGTAGTATTAAAATTTGCAACTGCTAAAGCCCCCATGAATGTGCCCTCTCTCCCTAATCTCTGTGAGACTGGAATGACTTCCAAATATTAACAACAGAAAATACTGAAGGAAGGCTTTTGCATATTATGTGGAAAATATTCCATATTTTGTGGCAGAAGCAATATAGTAAAAAATCAAGGATCACAGGGAAATGACCGCAAACAATAACATAATCTTGGTCTCGATAACCAAATAGTTTCTCTCAAATATCTCTGCAGAGATGAATCTAGGGGATCTTTTGGGGACACCAAATTACTTGAAGTGCAGATTAAAGAACTTCAGGGACATGCATGGCCTGCTTTGGGACCAGGGAGGGAGGGCAACCAGCCCAGGGATTAGTTCTCATTGTCACTGTCTCCAGGAGCTTGCTTGTCAGGAGACCTCCGCCATTCTGAGGAGGCGCTATCCTGTCTAAACTGACTGCTTTCACAGTGATGCTATGAGCTGATTTTGGTATCTGCAGCCCTGGGAAGGATCAGCGGCTATCTCCCCATTTGACTAAGAGCCTGAAAGGTTCAGATAATTTAGTTCACAGAAGTCTGAGAAAGACTCACAGGAACCAAGCACAGAGATTGGTGTATAGAGACAAAGTAACCACTGGGACATTGTGAGTGAGACTCTGGCCAGAACATGCCTTCACTGAAGACTACTATGTTAGAAGCTCCTTGGTTAAGGGATCCATAACCCAAAACAATCCAAAACACTCACTCTTGGACAGACCCTCCCATTTGCTCACTCATAATAGAATAAAATAGAATAGAATATTGCTCACTCATAATAGAATGTCAGAGGCTAAACAGGGACCCAACTGAACTGTCCAACAGAACTGCCCAGGAGGCAGGCCACATCCCATAATAGGCCTGGCAGGACTTCCAGACTCCCAGAACTCACACTAGACTCCATCCTGACTGAGAGCTGCATTGCCTCCGGTAGGATTCTTGATGGAACCGAAAATGGAACCGAAGTGGGGCACAATCAAGCACACTGAACCTATGACCCTCAGGAATGAGTTCCCTAAGAAACCCCAGACTGCGCTCGGCCCATGAGGCAGAGCAGCCTCCTCGCTGGGTCCCTCACCCTGTGGCTCTGGGCTCCAGCATCCTTTCCCCCTAAAGTCTCCTCCCTTGTCAGCACACAGGTTCCTCGGTCAATCTCTTCCCAGAGTCAAACACCTTTGGCAGGGTCCCCCTGTAACGAATTGGGAATAGGATGGTGCACAGCCTCATAACTGAAATGAGCCCCTGCCAAAGAAAATGGAGCCCTGGATACCTCAACAGTCTCTCTCAGGAGAGGAGGTGGGAAAGTGGCTATGGCTTGAAGGTTGCCTACAATTCAGAGTAGCAAGGGGGAGTAGGATTCTAAGCACCTGGCTGAGATGAGATTCCTCGAGACCTGGGTGAAGAACATTCTGTACAGGTGCGCCTGCTCTAAAGACAGCAGAGGAAGGTCCAAGAAGGCAAGGAGGGCAGGGAGGTTATAGCCAGGCTGATCACTTCCTAAAGGGTAAGACATATTGAAGGCTTCAGTCTGTTCCTCAGGGACCTGGGCAGATCTGAAGGGATTTAATACATTCATGCAGGCATGTACTATCTGGTGGCTGTTACCAATTAACACCAATTGCAGAATTAGCAATGTGTTAAGAAGAAACAGTCTGATTTAACCTTCCTCTAAAAATTATTTGAACCACACCCAGTATGCTTAGGGCTTCTTCCTGGATCTGTGGTCAGAGAACACTCCTGACTGTGCCCGGGTACCATGGGTAGTGCCAAATGGATCAAATCTGGGTAAGTCACATGCGAGGCAAGTGCACTGTCCCTTGTACTATCACTCTAGCCTTCCTTTTAACTGACCACTCAGAATGCCGTACACTTTATTTTTTAGTTTCTAATGTTTATGTCCTTCATATGCATGAAAATGAAATTACTCTCAGTGGGAAGTGGTCTCAACTGAGGAGGAATTCTGCTTGAACAATATATTTATTTTGAAATTTTCTTCCATTCACCTGGTTTCTAAAATTATTAGGTGCATTTATTTAAACATTAAAGCTAACTTAAATGCACACTCATCTAACTTCATATGACTCTCCTCATATGATGGATCTATCTCAGTATGATGATAAAACCTTTGTAGTCACAAGTATATTTGTCACTGAAGATTTTTGATGCATCTAAACCAACTCTGAGAGGAAAACTGAATAGTCTCCTATAAAATGCTAACCCAGACCAGAGATAGCTCAGAGAGTAATGTACATGATTCCTGAGTTCAATTCCCTGCATCACAAGGATCCCCAAGCATGGGCCAGGGAGGCAGACTCTAGAATACTATACCAGTGTTCTAACACTATACCAGGCACAAAAGCAGCAAGAAAATATCCTTCCAGATCTCTATGTTCCAGGGGTTGCTTCAGCTACACTCTCATACTCTGACATCAGAGAAAACTCACAGTGCTTCTCAAATTATGGCTACCACCTAGTTGTCTGGTGATGGAACTGAATGTGGACATAACGTATTTCACCATCAGGATGGTATCAGCCCTTTGGAAAAAAATACTCTTTTCTCATGTGAGCTAAAAGAAATATTTTCTACATAAAAGCAAATGCATTATATATACATATATATATCCAAGTGTAAATTTGCCAGATGGACACATTATATACATGTACACATGCATATAAACACATTTTAAATATGATAGAATATTTAAAAATATAAAAATTTAAATAGTAACCTTATTAGAACAGTGAACTCTAACATTCCCTTATTTCTACGTGCTATTCCTTCTGACATACTACTTTGACTATTATATTTGTCAATTTTTATTGATACTTATGCTGTAGATAAAGCTTTAGAAAAATACAATTGAGTACATTAATAAAAGTATGGTTTTAATAAAAATACCTTGCTTCTTTTGGATGCTCGAGGTAAGGTAAAGGCCCTCCCGTTGTTCGTCGATTTGCTCAAGCGGGCCCAGTAACGTCTCCATTGGAGACTTCGTTGTTACTGTGTCTGGCATATCGAATACATCACGGGGAGCTTGCCAGGCTCTCCGAGAGGGGCGGAGGAATCAAACTCGGGTCGGCCATGTTGGCTGCGTGCAAGGCCAACGCCCTACCGCTGTGCTATCGCTCCAGCCCTTCTTTTGGATAAATTATATAAATATATTATTTGACTTTACCAATTTGGAAAAATTAATAGAGACCCATAGAACTGTGCACAATGAAATCCAGGACGGACATAATGAAATGAAATACTATGCAGCTGTAAGGAAGCATTAAAATCACGCAATTCATTGCAATTTGAATGGAACTATAAAATATGTTGAGTGAAATAAGAAGAATAAAGACAAATACCAGATGAACTCACTTATATGTGGTATACAGAATAACAAGGGCAAGAGGAGCAGGATAGTACATTAGGTAGAGCTCTTGCCAGAGCTCTGACTAAGGTTCTATCCATGACACCACATACGGACCCCAAGCCTACCAGAAGTGATCCCTGAGCACAGAGCCAGGACTAAGTCCCAAGCACCACCAGGTGTGGCCATCCCCAAAGAAAAAACAAAACAAAAAGAATAGCAAGGGCAAGGGAAAGCAAGGCACTAAAAGGAGGATACCTGGACTATGAAAATGAGGGTAAGGAAGCAAAGAAACTGAAGGGGGTAAAGGGAAAGAGAAGTGGATAAAGGGTAACAGGGGTGGGTGTAGGACCCTCAGACACACTAGTGGTAGCACTGCACTGTCCTCCCATTGTTCACTGATTTGATTGAGTGGGCCCAGTAACGTCTCCATCATGAGACTTGTTGTTACTGTGTTTGGCATATCGAATATGTCACGGGGAGCTTGCCAGGCTTTGCCGTGCAACACTGGTGGTAAAGTCATGTTATTTAACTATATATCTGAGCCACATAACCAATAAAACTGAAACCATAAGATCCAATCTACATTAAACAAAACCGGAAAATGTTCCTGTCAAAGAGGAAGGCTGCTTGGTGGGAAGCTAAGGGAGTTTTTGGAGGAGAGCTGACACTGGTGGTGGGATCAGTGTTGGGAAATTATATACTGAAATTAAACTATGAATAACTCTGTAAATCACAATGATTAAATAAAAATAAAGAAAATAAAAGGATTACATCAGGAATCTGGACTACATACAGCATTCCTTTCATATTTCTGACTAGTGATGAGAGAATCAGCGGGTTTGCAAAGTTCTACAAAATCTATTACTTAAACTGAAAAATACCATAGTCTCAACACACAATCCCAGCATGTGATATCTGATTTTTCAATATAACATAAATTTGCTTCAGAGAGAGAAAAAAAACAGATGAAGCAGAAACGAGATATTAACCTGTTTCCACACTTCTGCTGCTGCTGTGCAGTTAGGAAAGTCACTTCCTTCTGGGAATTTACTAAGAGCACTATTTGCTGGAAGTTAAATCTGATGTCCAATTATTTTGTTTTTCCCTAACCTAGCCCTGGAACTCTGAATTATTTATCATGTCTTCTACCTTATTATAGAATTTTCCTTTTCACCTTGAATAAAAAATTCAATTCTTCCCTATCTTAAAGAAAGGTCATACGTGGGAAGAGGAGAAAATGAGACAGCGGTCAAGGGTTATTGCTTCTAGTGGTGAAGTAGCACTGCAAGTATAAGACGATAATATGGGGACTGTTGTAAACCACGTTATCTCAAAACAAATCAAGAGGTGAGATTACTACTACTAGAATTTATATTCTCAAACTTAAAAATGTACTTACTTTCCTTAGTATATAAAGATATAGATTTATAATGATGCTTATATAAGACTTACATAATATTGAAGGGACATGATATTTAAAAATTAATATTTAATTTTAAAAAATTTAAAATTTTTAAATATTAAAAAATTTTTGTCAGTTCCTTCCCAAAAACAGTCTTGAACACTTATTTCTCTCTTTTTCTTCCCTCACATCTCTACTTCTTTCAATAAAAATTATTTTCACTAAAAAGGTTCATTTGTCTCTAATCTCCTCTAGTTATAAATATCCATGTGATAAAAGTTTATCTATCAAAATATGCCAATTGTTTCAAGAGGATGTTTTTTCCACAATTCACTGAATTTACATTAAAATAAAATTTTTCAGTTATTCAACTAATAGATTATAGCCCAATGGCATTCCTTACCTCCTGCAAGAACTTTTCACTCATTTGACTGAGATGGTGTCCTGGGGGCTTGATTCCAGACACCATCAATCCAGAGCCAAACACCCTTGGCTTCTGCAAGTCTGGCTTGAATTTCTCATAGAGACTGGCAGGTGGCTTCAGGTCACCCTCTGCAGGCTTCTCTTCCTTGGGGAGAGGCATGCTACATGTAGCTGGGTCATAAGGAAGGCCCACTGGAACGAGTCCTACTGAAGTGTCTGCCTGGCCCAGGGCCTGAGGATTCCTCCTGATGTAGGTGATGATCTTGGGTCTCACCTGCTTGGGCTTCGGCATAATGATGGGCTTGGGGTCTGTCCTTTCCTCTTCTGTCTTCTCAGCCAGATGATTTTCCATTCCCTCAAGAAAGGAAGGTTTGTCCTCAGGATGTGCGGAGACAGGCTTGGAGAACTCACTGGAGTGGGCGTTCTTCTCAGGCACTTTCAGGGACGTATTCAACAGTTGTGCAGAGTCAGTGGGAAGTGTGGCAACCGTTGATGATCCTGTGTCCACATCCAATACACTGAAGTTCTGAGAAGTGCTGCTGGATAGTGGTGGCTGGGGTGTCACATTCCCAGTTGACTCTGGGTGCAGGGGTGCTGGGACAAGAGGCTCTGCCCTTCCTGGGGTGCTTTCAGTTTTAGCAGCAGTTTCTAGAAGGCTTCCATATTGAGCAGCTGATGAAGTCGTCTCTTTATTTTCCTCTGCTTCTCTGCTGCTACTCTGAGAATCAAGGGGCTCTGGAACCCCAGTTTTGACAGCTCCAAGAGAAGGATCTGACGTGGAAACTGGAGCGCTGTTGTCAATCCTTCTCTCCTCACCAACATCTATGCATCTGCCATTTACTAGATTGGTAGGAAGAGAAGTTACAGGAACATCACTTGGGGCAATGCTGCTGGGTTCCATTTCACCCCATTTCCTAGCTGTGCTTGGTGGGATTCGGCCTACGTGCTGATCAGTAGCAGCAACCACAGAAGCAAGACTCCGTTTGGGGCTAGTTTGAAGAGTCTCTTCCTCACCAACACCCTGGGCCGCTCTCTTTCCAAGTTCACTTCTTCCTTTCCCTGTTCCAGGGTTGGGGAGCCCAGTATGTGAGGGAGCACTCAGCATCCCCCGAGCCGCGGGTTCATGGTATGCTGCCACATTTGGTGCCTTTCTTTCAAGAGATAACACACCCTCCTCAAGACATTCCAAACTCTCTGTGTGGGCTGGCCTCAGTCCCTTCATGGTCCTGGATGGAACCCATTTCCGCTCCAGTGTGGGCTCTGCCTTTCCCAGTTCTAATTGTGCTTCTGGTTGACTTGGGCTTTCCTTCAAGGCCCAAACTGAATTCAGAGCTGGGTCTGGATGGGCAGAGTCTGGTGTGCTCTCATCACCAACTTTCAGGACACATCCCCCCTCCATCTGCACCTCTAAGGTGCTGGTCTCCTTGGCTTCTGAGGTAGTTGCTTTAGGTTGACATGGACTCTTTCCCTCAGAGGTACTCTCGGCTACAGGCAATGCTGCCCCCAAAGAACGAGCTGGCCATGTCTTCTGGGGTCCCTCCCCACCACTGGACACAGGACGGATAGCTTGAGGGGACTCCAGGGGTGCGGGAGGAGGAAGCTGGTGGCTCAGGTTCCCAACACGCTCCCTCACAAGCATGTCCCCAACAACAGCAGAGCTGCATGCTCTTTCCAAAGAATGTCTTCTCAGTTCCTCATTGTCAAGGGTCTTGGCCAGTTTGTCCTTGGGAGCATGCCAGAGAAGATCAGCATCCCTCTTGGTCAAAACCTCTGGAGTGGCCTCCCCCATCAGAGTCCTCCGACTTGACAGACTCAATCCCTTACTACTGTGAGGGGGTTGCAGGATATTTGTGCCTCTCTCAATCATGTGCTTTTCATTGTGTTCTTGACCAGGCAGTGCAAATTTAGAATCTTTCAGGTCAGTGGGGCCAGCCAGAGATCCCTTCCCAAAGCCCTGAAGTTGGTGAAATTCCTTGTTGAAAAGGATACTGCTTTCTTGTTCAGTTGAATTTGCATTTCCAATCTCATCAGTCAGGTTGCCTTTCTCAGACTTATCATGAGAGGAAGCGACCTCAAACATGATCTCATTGGCATTTGTGTCTCCCAGGCTTAGGAGGCTCTCATTATTATTTTTTGCTCCATTTCTGTTGTCCCGCAACTGAGTGTAACACTTCTTGGGAGCTGCTGGGATGCTCATTGTTCACCCTTCAGTGGGGGCTGTGTGCTCTGCAGTTTTATTAGATAGGAAAGGGCTTCCTTCAAGCAGATATGTGCTCCAAAGGAAATTCTCAAGCTGCCTTTTGCCTCCTGACAATGTCACATGGTGATAGTGCTGTCATCATTTCCAGAATGATTTTCAATCTATGCATTGTCTTGACATAACAGCAGGATAAGTTATGTTAGGTTCTTATAGAATGAGTCAATCCATGAGACCTAGAAAGAAATAAAAATACAATCACATTAGATTAACAAATTGAGATTCTCTGGATAAAATAGCATGATAAATACAGATTCATTCATCACTTTAATATTTTTTAGTCATTCAATGCATATATTTCTTCAAAGCCTTTCCTATAAGAAACCCTGCTGTCTGAATATAAAAAAAACTGAGACACCAAAATGATTGTTCTAATACCCAAAAGGAGAGAGAGAACAAAGGGGAATGCCCTGCCACAGAGGCAGGGTGGGATGAGGGGCTGGGGGGTGGGAGGGATACTGGGATCCGTGGTGGTGGGAAATAGGCACTGGTGGAGGGATGGGTATTTGATCATTGTATAATTGAAACCCAAGCACAAAATTTGTAAGTCTACAACTGTACCTCATGGTGTCTCACTAATAAATTTTTTTTAAAAAATGATTGTTCTAAATGGATAATAAAAATCTTAAAAATTCAGAAGTTTATACTGGACACAGATTTCAAAAATAGAAAAAATAGAGAGGCTCTTCACAGAATAAAATCATCAAGTATAGGGGAAACTATAGAATGAGAAAAATCACCATTTTATAAACAACAGCAAAAATCACCATTTTATAATCAACAGCAAAAATTATTGCTTGAGAGACACCAACGGTTACTACAAACAATGGGGGAAACATTATTGGAACACAGTAGGTATAGAGTAACAAAATGCTTTTCTCCAAATTACATCATTTTTATAACTTATACTTTTTATATTTTTATAACTTATATCTTACAATGGAGAAATCTAACAGATATCATATTAATCACTTAGCCAAATTTAACATCAAAAACTAAAACTATACCATGTGCTCTTGAGATTAGCTTTGTTCAGTGTCTCACATTACTAAATACACATTCAATTTGAAATTAATCATGAAAATAAGATTAACTTAAATTGAGAATGTTTTACAAAATAAATGACCTATATTGATTTCAAGAAACTTATGGGTACTTCCATGCAATGCAATTCAAGATTCTTGACTGGATTTAGAACTTTAAAAACTTTATCAAACTGTATTATTGAAAAAACCAAAGACTTAAATACAGAATACATATTAGGTAAAGACATCTGCTCAATGTTAACTTTTGGGGTATATAATAATATTGAGATATTTTTGAGACAGACTTTGTTCTTAGAAGAACTGTGATTTTAGGCATAGTATGATTTTTGACATGTTTTCTGTAACTCTCAAATGGTTCAGAAAAAGAAAGTATGTATCTACAACTAATAAAGAGAGAATGGCTATAAAAAAAGAAACAACAGCAATGAGGAAATCTCAGTTATCCTATTCTATCATAACAGCAACATGTAAATGGGTTTGGCATTTTTATTTATTTTTTTAAATTTATTTATTTATTGAATCACTGTGGGAAAAGTTACAAAGTTCAGGTTTAAGTCTCGGTTATGCAAATATCAAACACATTTCCCTTTACCAATACTTATTTCTCATCACGATGAACCCCAATAAACCCCCCCAACCCTCCCAATGCCTGTGAGGCAAATGAATTCTAGTTAACACTCTATCTACTTTGACTAGATTGTTTCGATAAAAGATGCACCATTATTATTTAGACTTTACACCCCCAAATCAGACATGCTGAAAAGGCATTGTGAAATAATTTGTTTTCTACAGCTGGTCACAAGAATCAACCAATGTCGCACGGCTGTGATACGGGCCGCACGATTTTGGATTTCTGGTATTTTACTTATTAACCCTGGAAGTATTTCCTGAGAGTCAGATAATTATAAGATTGGTTTCTGTGCTCTGGAGCCATGGCCGTGCCAGAGAGCTGCTCATGGGGGGCAACTCGTGACCTCGGTAGGGCATGAGGGACGAGCCGGGAACGCCCCCCTTCCCATGAGGTTTCAGTCGCCCCATCACCACTGGCTCATACCTGGCTTTCCACAAAGCTCCCAAGCAGCTGCCATCTTTCTTTCCAGAGGGAAAAAGGCGGAAGGGACCAACACCCTTTCCCCTCTGGGTGGCGTTTTTAAATAAAAGGATGGAGGCTATTCCAATGTGGCACACTACTGAGCATTGATCACTGACCTTCTTACTCTCAAGGCCAGAGTTTCCCAAACTTATTTGACTTACTATCCTTTCCCCTTTTCTGGCCACAATGTCTTTATTCTTCCTATTACCAGATTCTTCTTCCTTGTACCTCACCACCACCTGTATGATAAGATTCTCAACCACTGACCTTACATAATTTGTAGTCCACACTTTCCTTCCCACCCAACTCAACAAGGCAATCATCTAACTCTTATGTGATATACAGAGAAACAAATCAAAGAAATAAGTAGTATCAAATGATGACAAGTCCTTACCTTCGTATTATAAAACTGAGATTAACAACCAATGCTTTTTTTAACGTAGGGAGATTAGAGTCTCACTTTTTTAAAAAAAATTGTTTACAATATTATTAATAATAGCTTATCGTACATAAGTCCAACACTACACCAACCACCAGGGGTAATGCAAAACAAAGCAAAAGTTTATTGTCAGGCTAATTGCCATGTGATACAAGCACTGCATGATCTCTTAGCTAACAACCACCACAAATGATGCCCACCTCTAGCAACAGACACATCTTCAGCCATCCCTAATTGGCCATCTGATAATAGTTTGACTATCTAATCTAGAACTTTTTCACTGACTGCATCTATTTTTTCTGAATAATTAAAGCAAACTGGTAATACCTAGATGCTCCTATACAATTTCATCACCATTTTGTATTTTAATTTCCTGTTGTCATGTTTGTTCTGGACACAAAGTTTTGCAGGAAAAAAAGCCAAAAAGCCATAAAAAATACCTAATTCTTATATCCTATTAAAATAAAGAAAAACATATTGTCTTAAAAAAAAGAAGAGGAAAGTACATTGTACTTTCTCTTTCTCAGATAAAGATAAACTCAGTATATGGCAGAGATGGCATATCTATGAACAGGATTGTTAATTCACCTGGCTTAATGACAGACTAAAGCCAAATGTCTCATTTACATTTAAGGTTTGATAACTGTTGAAAGTTTTTGTTTCCAAACTTCTTTGCTCTTCTACTTAAAATACATCTACTTATGAAATTATACACTCTCTTCTACCTTCTGAGCTTGAAGCAGATCTCATGAAGCATTTCCTCCAATTTCTTTTCATTTCTTCCCACAAAACCATGGGGAAGATACTAGGTAATATTCTGGCATATTTTTAAAATTATATAACTAAATAAATACATACACACATGTATGTGTCTTGTTCCCTCATTCCTATTATTTAACTCTAGGTTTAAGTTTAAGGACCAGAACAGTAGTAGGACATGTCTTAGTTACGGCCTACACAGATTTGATTCCTGGCACCTCATATGGTCCCTAAGCATCACCAAGAGTGATCGCTAAGTGCAGAACCAGGAGTAAGCCACCACCATGTGTGGCCCAAAACAAACAAACAAACAAACAAACAAACCCCCCAAAATTCCTCTAAGTTCTGTAGGTTAAAGGTTAAAACTCACATGCTTCCTTATCCTATATTTAATGTGAAGGCACTTGGGATAAAGCAATTTTTCAATTTTTAAAACTGAGCTCTAAAAAACTAAATAGTTACACCTCTTTTTATATACTGTGAGCTTTATTTTTCCTATTCTTTCAAGACATAGATTGTAAAGCTACCCTTTTCAAATGGGTAACTGGTTAGATAATCTCTTCCCTCTAATCCAAGAGGGCTTCTCCAAAATATCCAGGAGTGATTACTGATATTTGTCATTTTATTTATAAACTTTGTAATTTTATATCAACTTAACTTAAAATTTAAACAAAAGGAAGGTTGGAAAATATTTAATTTGGTTATGCTCAGGGATAATTCCTAGAGGGGCTCAGGGGACCTTATTGGTGCCAAGAATCAAACCAGAGTTAGCCCTATGCAAGACAAGTGCCTTATCTGCTGTATTATCTCCCCATCTCCATGTGGAGAATTTTATGGAGAATAAAAATGATGGTGATTTTAAAAGAATGAAAAATACTTCTGTCTAGCCTTCCTCTGATTCAAGTTCTGTTGTTTAATGAATTTGTCACTTTATCAGTAATGAACTGTTATATAAATATTTCAGAACCGTATCTCTGAATGTGAGTGCAATTCCATTAGACTAAGTAGAAGTTACTTACCAAAGAAAACCAAATCCAACTATAGCCATGCAATAAATTATCCTCCATGGGAAATAAATGATATGAGAGAATGTATGGCATTAACCCAAAAGTTAATGGTAAGAATAATGATAATGCAGAAAAACTATAGTTCACATTTTTACTGAGGAAGCATATTGTCAGATCCATAAAATCCACCACATAATAATCTTATTATATGAAATTATGTACAGAAATTTACATAGCAAAGTATTCATCTGCTGGAGTAGCCAGGTTTCCTGGTTGATTTTGTGTATTTTTATTCTCAGCAAGCATAATTATAAGTATTCTAAAGCTTGAAGCCATTCGAACAAAATTAACTTTACAATTTCACTTTCCCCACAACATGGTTAAAAATTGATTCATTGGATGGGGAATGGTTAATCCATGCTCAGGGACAATGTCGCTATCTGTGGTACTGAATTCTGTGAACATGTACCAAATAACATAAAGGACTACAGCTCTTCAGAGCCCACTTTACTTTCCTGATCTATCTGCAAAGAGGCAGACAGATCTCATACACAGGACCACAGTTGGAAAGGATTACACACAGAGGCACAAAGACACACTTACACTTTAAGTAGCAGAAACTAATTTATTTTATTCTACTTTGAGTAAAATGAGTGATAAAGAATCTACACGTAAATAGGCTAGAGTAGCCCCCAAGCACCAACAGGTGTGGCACACCCCCCAAATCAATTACTTAAAAATAAGTCTTTCAAGGAATATAACAATTTTTTGCCTGTTATGTTTAATAATTA